CCGAGCACTTTGCTCATGTCGGCTGTTGTTTTGAGGGAATGACGAATGGAGTTGTAGACTTCAACTTTGGTGGTTTCAGTGAGTCTTTGGACTTTGCACCTCCGGCCTGGATGGCCCCGCCTGAGACTTTCTCCTTGAATGGTCGCACGGATGAGAACCGACGACTTGTCAGTGTTGGTGATCTCGGTCTTAAGAACTTGAATACGATTTTCCAGGATGTTGCTTTGGAAGAGCATTTGGTGGCATCTACTTTGGAAGATACGGATCCCTGGATACTTTTTGATTCAGGAGCTGCGACACATTGTTGTCCAAAGGATTTGCTTCGGAGTGGCCACTTTTGCCACTCGCCGGGAAAGCTCCAGCTTTGAGGAACATTTCGGGTCAACCTTTTGCGGTCTTTGGAAGGCGACTTGTCAAGGTTGACTTTGAGGGCCAGCCCTGCTTCTTGCACTTTTACGTTTGTGCTGTCCCCTACTGTGTAGTATCTGTTGGTAGACTTTTGAGATCGGGATTTGATGTGAGCCTTTCTTCCAAGAAGCCGAACACACTTTCAACGCCTCATGGACATGAGGTGCCCATCATTAGGCACGGCTCACTTTTGTTTCTGGGACTCACTTTGGCACCTTTCAACAAGGATGAATTTGAAGTCGTGTGCAACACTTTTCACAACATGAGTCCACAAGATACCATGGCGTCCCCGACTTTCAAGACTTTGGTACAGTATCATGTCGACAAGTGGGAGCTCGCAGGTAACACTTTGACCCGCATACACAAAAGAGCTAGAGCTACTTTCTTTTCTCCCGAAGGGACGAAAGATCGCCCTGTTGACTTGAAGGACTTGTCTGATGAGCGCGTTACCTACTTTGAGTACGCCGATGGCAGAAAAGAGACTTTAACCGACAACTCGCGATATTCGGAGAATCCTAAAGGACCCGCTCCTGAGCGTTTCGTTGGTAGGACTGTTTTCACATTTCCTCCACACCCACTGGCCGTCAGCTGGTTGGGAAACAGTCTACTTTACCCGAGCCAACACCTTTGAAGCCAAAACCACAACCGCAGCCACAAGAACTTTCTGTAGAGGCCCCGCAGCCACTTTTCAAGCAGCCCCAGCCCCAGAAAGGCCTCGAGGAGCAAAACACCGAGGACACTTTTCGTCTGCACTTGGAGCAGACTTCCTCAGGAACGCTTGAAGACTTTAAGAAGGCTTTGCTTGAGCAACTTTTGGAGAAGGACCCGTCTACAGGACGGCCGTACACGCACGACTTGTGGCTTGACTTTCTGTCTTGTTGGGTGCGTGTGCATTACGAGCCTCGGAGCACACTTTTTGTGCCAGAGGACTCACACTTTGGAGAGCAGCTTGGGAACGGTCGCATGAGTTTAGTTGTGCGCCCTGCCTGAGACAGAGGCAGAGCCCTTTTGACATGCGGACGACTGGCGCAAGAAGGGCGCAACTTTGGCGAGCGCTCCTTTTGTTGGCGCCACTTGGTTTGAAAAGGCAGACTTGCAACTGGTTTGAGTGTGAGCCGGAAGCTCCTGACTACGTTGCGTGTCGCTGCAGAGGCCTGAAACAGCCTGGCGAGCCAACTTTGACGGAGCGGCTTGAGCCTTGGTGTGAAGTTTGCGTGCGTGCTAAGAGCAAACAGGCCAAGAGTCGCAGACTTTCCCTGAAGCAGCCTGTTCAGCAGATGGATTTTAGCTTTTTTGGCGACAAGCCTGGTGGTGAGCAGATCACAATCTTGAACGTTGTGGATGTCCTTTCGGGCATGGCACTTTTTGTTGTGATCCCTACCAAGGCGCACACACCTTACTCACAGGCTGAGTTGCGCCGCTTTGTGCTTGAGACCGGTCGAAC